ACGATTCGCATGGCTAAATCCCTTGATCTGCAAGTTCACCGACTATCAACGGAACCAGACGATCATCTATGATCTAATCTCTAAAAATACAACCACTCCGGTGCACATATCGATGTTACCATCTCTCCTTAGTACTATGCAGAGATCCTGGACAAAACCAGGTTCCTCCCATACCATGTCTAAGCAGATTGATAATCTCTATAGAATCCATGACTCAGGAGCTATTTTCCTCCAAAAACGACCAGCTCCAAATTCTACATTTGTCGAAGCCTCTCAATGTCGATACCGACAATCTCTCATACTACCAAATAAAGACAGCCGACGAATAGACTCCAGGGGTCAGAAGAGTGTTCACCAAGCGCATGGCGCCGGTAGCTGCCTATCTCAGACTTCAAAACATTGGTGTCTTTCTATATATCAATGACTGGCTCCTTGTAGCACACTCCTGTCGCTTTACTCTTCCACAGCCTTCACCATGCGAGTCACTAATTATCAAGGAGCCATGGGAGCTTAACAATGCTTCCTCTGGGACAACATGTCCACCTTTATTGAATCCCTACCAGAGGATAAAATGATACTAGGTTCAGACCTTCCAACAAGAAGGTCTCTCCATTGCTAAACAACAAATGCTTTCCACCCTTCACGCCGTAGACGCTACAGCCAAGTCCATGGCCACTTCAGTAGTCCTACGCCATTTTTCTTGGCTCAGAACGGCCGGCTTAGCCGAAGATGCTTGGGCCAAGACCTCCCCTTTGATGGAGAAGGTCTTTTTGATGCTAAAACTGACAATATACTAGAGAACGTACAAAAGAAACGTTCAGCAGTCAGACATTGGGGAGTTAACCCTTCCTACCAGTAACATCCTCAGCAAAATCAATGGAAACAGCCCTATAACATGTACCAGAGGTTCCAACAAGACCCTCCACGACAAACCTTTTACAATCCATACTTCAAAAACCAAAGAGCCAAAACCCAGCAACAGCCTGCCACTAGGCGGAATGACTGGAAACCCAAACACCATGTTTGACGTTCCTTTGACTGAGACTGCCAACCACCCCACCAACCCTGCCCTCTGGAAACACCTGCATGGGAATCCATCACTACAGATTCCTGGGTACTCTCCATCATCAAGAACAGCTACCACGTCCACTTATTCAAACTTCCTCTGACAACACACATCACTACTCCTCCGTCACAACCCCTGCAAGAAGAAATAACAAATTTGCTTCTCAAAGATGCCATACAACCCGTCAATCAAAACAACACCGGCTTTTTCTTTTGCTATTTCACTGTCCCCAAGAAAGATGGGGGGCCTTCGCCCTATTCTGGATTTAAGATTATTAAACAACTACATCGTCTCCACAAAATTCGGCCTGGTTACTCTAGAATCAGTTCTTTCCTTACTTTGAAAAAATGACTGGTTCACCATCATAGACCTAAGAGATGCCTACTTTCATATTGCAATGCATCCCACACACAGAAAATTCCTTCATTTCCAACTTGGATCCAATTCAAAAGACTGCCATTCGACCTTGCAACAGCTCCAAGAGTATTCACCAAGTGCATGGTGTTCACCAAGTGCATGAGGTAGGTGGCTGGCAGCCACCTACCTCAGACTTCAAAACATTCTCGTCTTTCCATATATCGATGGCTGGCTCCTTGTAGCACACTCCTGTTGCAAAGTTTGACAAGACACCTGTTTCACCCTCACCCTTTTTCATGATCTCAGTCTATCAATGAACAAAAATCAACATTAAAACCTACAAGGACTATACATTACATAGGCACGCTCATAGACTCCACACGAGCTCGCACGTTCCTTCCTGTAGAAAAGAGACAAAATCTCTTCACCTTACTTCGCTGCTTCACTCCCCATGCCTTGATGCCTGTCTTAAAGGTACAATGAGTTCTAGGCACCATGGCCTCTTCAGTTGTACAACATGTGTGTCTCAAAATGAGATCTCTCCAATCTTGGTTTCTGGCCCTATTCGATCCACTAACAGACTTTCCCCAAAGTCTCCTAAGAGTCACTCCAGAATTGGCCTCTCAACTTCAATGGTGGCATTCCCATACCAGCCTTTCTATTAGGCGACTGTTCCAACAACCATGCCCACGAATGCAAGTCACTACCGACACCAGTTGCACCAGCTGGGGGGCTTATTGCAAATCCCTCACAGTCCACGCCAAATGGTCTCACAAGAGAAAACCTGCTCCACATAAACAAGTTGGAGCTACTAGCTGTCATAAAGGCCTGCAAGGCTTTCAGAAACCTCCTTGTAGGAAAAATGGTACAGATCGCCACCGACAACACCACGGCAATGTACTACATCCTAAAACAAGGTGGCACCCACTCCCCAGGTCTCTACTTAGCGCTCGACCTCTGGGAGTGATGTCTGCAACATCACATCTGTCTCACAGCCTTACACATTGCTGGTCAAGACAGTGACCTGGCAGACTCACTCAGCCGTACAGATGCCAAGCTCATGAGTGGGAACTAGATCAATCAGTATTCCACCAACTATGCCGGAAATGGGGCACACCAGCTCTCGAGCGAATCAGAAATGCCAACTGTATTGCTGCCGAGCAGGAATAGGAAAACATTCCCAGGGAGAAGCGTTTGTTGGCCGTTGGCCCAAGACTCTTACCTACCTTTTTCTGCCGTTCCCGCTCCTCCACAAGTTGTTGTCCGTCTACAAGACAAAACCAATGCCATTGTTATAGCCTCTTGGTGGCCAAAACAGACTTGGTTCCAAGTTCTCTGCAGTCTCTCATCAGACATCCACAATCTCCCCCACCTGCCACACCTTTTCACACAGAACACTCCCAAGCCCTACACCTGGACTTACCTGGCAGCATGGAGGATTCTCCCTCATTAATGAATGTTCTTCGTCATGCCAAAAAACCATTCACAAGGAAAGCCTACCTGTACAAGTGGAAGAAATTTCAATCCTTTACCAAATCTTCCTCCTCATCCTCCATCAATCCATCACTTTTCCACTGTTCTCCGCTTCCTCCTACATCTCAAATCCAAGGGCCTCCATCTCATCCTTGAGAGTCTACCTTTCGGCAATAATATCATACCAACCTCCAAATTCTCCAGCAGCAAACTTCTTCAGACATCCAACAACGAGATGTTTTCTGAAAAGTCTCATATCTACCCCGATACTCGACCTCTCTCTCCACAGTGGTCGCTAACTCTTGTTTTGAAACAGCTTACCAAAGCTCCTTTTGAGCTATTAGCTACAACTGACTTAAGACTCCTCACCTTTAAAACAGCTTTTCTCGTAGCCATCACCTCAGCTCGATGAGCTAGTGAATTGACAGCTTTAGGCTATGACTACCCTTATCTATGTTTTTTTTCTGATAAGGTGAAGTTATTCATGGACTTTTCCTTCCCAAAATTGTCTCTCAATTTCATCTTTCCCAGCCAATTGTCCTTCCTTCATTTTTTCCATCATCATCTTCAAACCAAGAAAAAATACTCCATACGTTGGATGTCAGAAGAGCTCTGGCTTTTTATCTCCAGTGTACCCAACCTTTTAAACAGTCATCTCGTCTCTTCATAAGGCATCACCTACCTACAAAACGCCATCAGGTGACTTCCCAATCTATCTCCAGATGGGTCGCCTCCACCATTCATTTGGCTTATCAGCTTGCTCAACAACCAGCCCCTAGAGTGGTTCGCCTTCACTCCACCAGGGCAGTGGCAGCCTCTACAGCCTTTCTCTGCAGCGTACCTCTTCTGGATGTCTGCGCCTCTGCCACTTGGCCACAGCCATCCACGTTTATCCGTCATGATAGACTTGACCTCCTGCAGAAGTCTGATGCGGCATTTGGACGTGCTGTTCTAGCCTCTACCTTGGCATGACACCCTGCCTCTGGGTAAGACAGCTTATTAGTCACCCACGGTGTGATTCACAGAGGCCCCGAAGAAGAACGACAGGTTACCCACCTGTAATTGTAGTTCTTCGAGTGGACCTCTGTGATTCACACATCCCGCCTGTCCTCCCGTCACGCCATTGTTTGCTTACTATTAAGTGGCGGTTGACACAACTGAAAGGGGATGCTTGGAGCCAAAGTACTTATATGGGTGGGGAAGGGCATATTCTAATGTGTTCATTGCTACTGCAGAAGCTCTAGAATCTTCCAATGAGGCTCTGTGCAGGCACGGATCACCCAGGGTGTGAATCACAGAGGTCCACTCGAAGAACTACAATTACAGGTGGGTAACCTGTTGCTCCTTTGGCTGCTCCAGGAATGCAGCTATCAGTCTCTTTGGGGCTCAACTCAGATGTAATGCTGAGTCTTGATGAAGCTGCAAACCTACTTAGGACCTGGATACCTAAGGGAAAATTGGAAGCTTAATGTTTGCCCTTTGAGGTCTGTCAGGAAGGCTTACATGTGTTGCCATTATCTGAGATGCACTTAATGACAGAGTTTTGAAGTATTTCTCTGTTTAAGAATTCCAACAGTTATAGACTAAAAAAAAGATTTTTTTTCCAGGCCAGATTACAGAACTCTCTGCAAAATTTGTTTTTAAATGTGATTTTTAGTTAGTCAGTAGAGGCATTTTTGAAAACTGTAAAGGAGAAAGCATTCTCTTACAAATAAAAATAAATTACTTTGGAGAATGGAAATGTAGGGTTAGTACTACTTTCTGTTTAATTCCTCCTCCCATAGTAGTGTGATCTAAAGAGGTCTGAAAGTCACATCTCCCTAACATAGCCTTTTAGATTGTAGAGCTAAAGTTCCTTTCTAAAGGACATTTTTGCGGAAATTATGTCAGGTATCAAAAGCCATATAAAGTTCCTGACTCTTATTCTCTTCTCATTCTCTGAACCCTGCTTCTTCTTAGTAGTTCTTCTTAGGTTATCTAGCTTTGCATCTGAATTTGGACGCTGTAATGTTTGAACAAAAACCAATTGTGTGTAGCACTAATTCATTGGTGGTATTAAAAAGCCTTCTATTTGCAATAGACTCACTGTGTTTTTTTCTGTCAGGTATCAAAAGACGAACGTAGCGACGTGGAGAGTAGCTCTGAAGAGGAAGATGTGACTTCAAATAATAGAAAAGGAATCCTTAGCCCTTCAGTCAGTGACAGCAACCGGATTAATGGCCATATAACTAGTGACCAGTGGGCAGAAGAGGAGTAAGAAGATGAAACAGAGAGGCCTCCAGAAAATACAGACATTTGTCAAAAATCTCTAAATATGTTGTGCTCCACATTCCGAAGAAGTCTTTAATCAAACTGCCACTTCAGCCACAAATCTTTCAATAAATTTGAAATGGGCTCAGTGCAGGCAGTTTTGCACAGAAAGGATCGAGGTGATTTGCTAGTGCACCAGCTATTTCCTGTTTCACTTCTTAAAGACCGTAAGAATCCTGTATTACGTGTCTCATGTTTGTTTGTGAAAGGTGAGAGAGTGAAGAGCTTGTTTGTGTTAGGATAGGCTCAAACTGAGAAAGGATATGTTTAGGTTGGGTCTGTTGATTTTCAGAAGGGCTATCTACTACTGCTGAATCATATTCCCGGTTTATTGACCCTGTGGTCTGTTTTTGATGTGAGATTACCCCATCATCTTGGAAGGGCCAATTTAGTATTCTATGGAGCCTAGTCTGTCCCATAGTTAGAAAACACAAGCTTTTGACTCTGGCAATGGGAAACAGGATTTGCTTATTAGTGAGTGCATGGCACCCCAATGATAAAGTTTTACGTCTGCTTGTTTGGATCAGTGGAGAAGAGAAAGCTGGCATTCTTTACCTCTTTTTTTTTCTTTTGAGTTGGATAGCATCTCCAAAGTTTTCATCATGATTTTCTAAGATCACCTGCTTTTCCTGCACATTCTATGACTCCGAAGGCACATCCCATAAAGAAATGGATGCATTTGTGTCATGGGATTATAGAAATGGGTGATCCGTTGTCTTGCTGATTTTCCTATGGAGCATCTTACAAATGTGCCCATGTTTTTTCAGAACAGAAGTGTGCCGCACCTTCTTCAGTCACTTGTGATATACCACTGGGATGGAGAGGCTGCCACATATGGACTCTGTCCTCCCACCCACCCCCTTTTTACTCAAAGGTACTTCAGGGGAGCTGGAAGGCAGCAAAGTGTTGTCATACCCAGGACTTTGAAAATTCCCTGAGTTATTATCATTTTATACTATTGTTTACTCTGTGATTAAAAAATTGTGTGAAAAATAGCATCTTTGTATTTTGCTTTACTGATGGTCATCTGCGTGCTGCAGTTAAGGATTGCTAACTGCTTCTTGTTGCAAACTACCGTATTTTTCTGTGTATAAAATTTTTTTCCTAAAATAATTAGAGGAAAAATTAAGGGTCATTTTATACATGGAAGGCAGCAGCAGGAGGTGGAGACTGAGGCAAAGCAGCAGCCCGGCTCGGCCGCCTCTGGCTGCTGCCTATTGACTGCCGCCACCCAATCACCCCCTCCAGCGATCGTCTCCTTGTGATTGGGCGATGGTGGCAGCAGCCAGAGGCGGCCAAGCCAGGCTGCTTCTTTGCCCGTCTCTGCCTCCTGCTGCTGCTTCCACCGCTGGAGCCGTTTTGACCGCCCCCTTTCCCTTCCTTTTGCAGAGCTCCGTGGCTCCGCAAAAGGCAGGGAAAAGCGACTGTCAGAGTGACTGCTGCTTTTCCCTGTCTTTCGCAAAGCCGCAGGGCTTAGCAAAAAGGGAGAAGCAGTGCTTCAGAAAAGGCAGGGAAAAGCGGCTGTCAGTGACTGGCGCCTTTCCCTGCCATTTGCAAAGCCACAGGGCTTAGCAAAATGGAAGAGAAAAGTGGTGGTCAAGGGGAGCCTTTTGATCCCTGCTTTTCCCTTCCTTTTGCTAAGCTCTGTGGCTTAGCAAAAGAAAGGGAAAAGCAGGGATCAAATTTTCTAATTTGGGGTTAGAAAAAGGGGGACATCTTAAACATTTGGTCATCTTATAAACTGAAAAATACGGTAATACAGTGGTGCCTCGACTTACATACATCCCTACTTATGACCATTTCAACTTACGACCAGCTCCAGCCACAAAATTTTGCTTCAACTTGCGGCCGGAGCTTCCACTTACAAACAAAGAGGCAGGGGAAAAAAGCTGGGAAATTCAAATTGCTAACCATTGGTGGCGAAGAAGCTGCTTCTTTGTACAGTAGCTCTTTCTGTTACTCATGCTCTAACCCAACGGTTAGAGCAGGAGTCCTCTAGCGCTCCCCGGGGCACGGGGAGTAGGGGCTTCCAAGGGCTCTCCATACTGACCTCAATGGGGCTGAAGGGTGGAGGAGAGTGGCTGCAGGTATTCTGGAGGAGCCCATTGGGCAGCAGCAGCGCTCACCCGGCTGCGTGGCTTCCTTTGGCAGAGCCAGTGCTGGAGCAGGAGGCGGTGCCGAAGGAAAGCCATGTGGCCATGGGAAGCCTGAAGGAAGAGATGCTGACACCGATCTGGCACGCCTTCACCGTCCTTGACCTGGACCGGAGCCGCAAAGTCTCCAGGTCCCAACTCAAGGCAAGCCAAAAGAGGCATGTGCGTGTGTGGGAGCGATAAGAGCAAGTGCGGCGGGGTAACGTCTCTTCCCCCTCTGGCGGTGGGCACTTCCTGCCTTTGCCAACGGTGCACCATTGAAGCACTTCCCCCTTTCCCCTCAGCCGGAGGCCAGCGAGGGAAGGCAGGAGGACGGAGCTGTTGCCTAGCGCAGTGGAGACTGCGCTCTGGTTGCACGTGGCAGGACTGTGCAGTCCCTCAAAGCTCGATTTCTGGCGCCTTTGAGAGCCAGTCAAAACCATGCCGTGCAAAGATGCACGCTGCCACCTTCCACACCCAAAGTGGGTGTGTGAGGGTTTGGATCACGGGGCCTCCCTGTCTCCAAATAAACCATGAGTCATTTTGGAATCAAAAGAATTGTCTCTATTAACTCTGGTAACGGAACAGAAACATCAACAGGTTTCGTCATGAACTTCTCTTGTGAGATTAACGGCTCTCGCAAGGCCAACCACATGGCGCTTTCGAAGGGGTTCAAAGACTTAGATTCCCATGGTCCCGCCAAGACCTGCTCAGGCTCTTGGGTTCCATCTTCATTTCCCTCAATTATCAATAATGGGATGATTTCCTCGTCTCCTGTCCATCCCCACAGCGGGGATCCCTCTCCCAGTTGGGCATCCCACGGTCCAGGTAAACACATCACCTTCCTCAGCTCCTCCATATGCCATGCTCGGCGAGCTTCCTTCTCCCTTTCTGCAGCTTCTTTCTCCTCACATAGTCAACACTACCACTCACGCGTCTCTGACTCACCCCAATAGGATGGGCACTGGGGCAGTCCCTTTCTTCTTCTATTTTCAGCCTCCTGTTTGGCCACTTTGACTTGTTCCCAGCGTCCAGTCCAAGGATCTTGTAACCATATTGTCTCCCAACCCCACGGTATATTGTCCCGGTCCATATTTATATCCCCTGCTCCCGCCTCCACCAGAGACCGCCCCCTTTCTTGTTTTCCCACCACCTCCAGTTCGGTCTGGGTAGAGACGGTTAACCCCTTCATACCCATCTCTAAATCCCGAGTGTCTACTTGGTGCATCATTCTAGATGGGGTAGGAGGTGGTCTGCATCCCCTTGGGGAGAGACGGCACTCCTACCAGGACTTCTTAACCTAGGTCTCTGGCTCCACAGGGTGTCTGGGGTGAAGAGGTTCCCCCCTGGAAAAAGGCTTCCTTCTGTGCAGCTCTTTTTACACGGGGAGGTCCCTTGGATGGGTGGCTGGCAGCCCTTGCTGTTGGAGCTCTTCTGAGCTGAGCTTCCACCGGAGCTGGAGGTGGCGCCAAAAGAAAGCCACGTGGCCGGGCTCGCTCGGAGCCTTCACCTCCCTGTGTGGAGAATTAGGTCCAGTCCCCTTGTTGCCCAGAGTTGCGGCCACGGCGGCATCCCATCCCCAGGAGGCTGAGCCTCACCGGGGCGCTCCAGCTGCTCGCCCCAGTCTCACCCTCTGCCATGGCCGGCTTCGCTGGGGAGTGAGTGCCATCGGAGGTGGCTTCAGGCTTGTAAGGTAAAGTGCTGCATTTTAAAAACTGTTCTGGGTGGCTTTTGGCTGGGGGAGATTATGTTCCTGTGCTGTTGTTTTTTGGTGATTTTTTTTTTTAGTCCCAGCGTGGGACTTGCTGTGATGTTTATTTTTGTGAGTCCCAGTGTGGGACTTGCTGTGATGTTTATTTTTGTGATTTTTTTCAGCCTCAGCACCTTCTGATGGGGCTTTCTGTGTGCTTTATATTTTTGGTATTTTAAAAAAATGTTGGAATGGATTAATCACGTTCCATCCATTTCAATGGGAAATAGTGCTTCAACTTACGTCCATCTTCTGGAACGGATTATGGTCGTAAATCAAGGCACCACTGTACAGGTTTATTAAAGGGCAAACTGGTAATCTGAACTGTGCAGAACAAATTGCATGTTTGTGCAGTTGACTCAGTAGGCACTATTGCTAACTCCAAATTTTCATGTCAGTTTCCATTCACTCCTAAGCAGCACATCTGGATCTACTATTATGCGAGTTGTCCTTTAAAACATTCCATGTCTCTTATAGCCAAAGCACATTTATGCAAGCTCTGGTCAATACTCAATTGCCTATTAATCTATAAAAACAAAAAAATAAGAGTCCAAAGATGTTAATTATGCTTTTTAGTATTTTAACAGTGCTGTCAAATTGTTTTGGGTCAGAATCTAGTTGAGTAGAAATTCTAAACAATCTTAAACCTCAACTTGGACATTCAAAATACATGCCTGACTTTGATCAGCAGCTACAGTATGCATGCTCATGATGATGAAAACTGAAGTCTGAACATCCCCTAGAGGGCCACTGCTGATGTCATTACAATTTAAGTCTCATCTCCTACACACAGGGAATGAAATTATCTCCTTGCTTTGAGCTAGCTTTTGTGATGCTTATGCATCAAAAAAGTTTGTATAGCAGGTTTTACACTTGTAGGTAATACACAGTGGAGAGTGAATTTTCAGTGCCTTTTCATAGTTTATAGTCTGTGGTGAATCTTTGCAAGTAAGGTAGTAAATCAATAATACCTGCCAACAACCTTTTGTGCCAAACTTAAGTGTTAATGGGATGGGCCAGAATCTGGCCAGCGGCTTCTATCTTGAATAGACACTTAATCACATCTTAAGTAATGGACTAACCATTATATTTAGACCATCATTGCAATGCATTCAGTTCCTACCTTGTCTCTAATATCAGCAGCTTATCTGTAGCAAATATGCCTCCTGTTACAACATTGCGTGCCTGTCCATCATGAACTTCAGATTGGAGGAACTGTTCACATTGTGGCAAGAGACAGATTTTCTTAGACATCAAGTTGCTGTGAATTTATCCTAACTTCTGGTTTGTCCTTCAGTGTTTCAGTTCCAATTTGCTTTCTGGCAAAACAGCACAGCTATAACATTTAGTCGTAACACTGGGATGTCCAAACTTCTACTTCAGTGCTAATGTTACTTTAATAGTTAGGTACATGTTGCTTGTAATGTTGCACTGTTGTATAGGCTAAAAGCCAATGTTTTCTGGAACAGTAAGGAAGTTGGGATTGCATTAGCACAAGGAAGGGGAGCCAGCTTACACTTCAGGTTAGTTCCATCCTCTTGGCTTAGAATTTCCAGAAATGAAGAACATAATATTTTAAGACAAAAAGTAAATGGCTATAACTATTATCATCTAATGGAGGGCCTGCCAAAAGCTTCGGAACAATTCTTTAAAAACAATTGATTTGGGTCACAGAGGAACTCTTCACCTCCAGATCTCCTTGTTTGTAAATAGCAGAGCCTGCTTATCTCTCCCTGAAACAATTTTAAAACCAAGATATAACATTTCAATTTCCTGTCAAATAATTTTAATTTGTCAGTATACTTTCTATGCAGCACGGTATCATGAAGCCATTTCTACCCTAGTCAAAACATTTGTTTTTCCTCAGCTTCCCTCCCCCCAGTGTTTTGAAAAAAATATTACTGTATTTAGAAATGAAAGAGTAAATCCTCCTTTGATCCTTCTCTGCAAATTTAGATTAGGTATCCTTCAGTCTCAAGAAACTATGGTAGCCTGCTCTGAATAGAGGACTTGGAACAGCATCTAGTGTGGCTGAGAGTGACAATCCCTTCCACACTGAAGGCAAATACAATCTGTCCCCTGTCCAGCTCCCTCATTTTGCTGGTTTGGGGAC